TCAAAGTACAAAAAGAAACCAGCCACGTATCTGCTTTGGAGTAAAGCCAAGAGTTTTTCAGTGCTTTCTATGGAAAAAAGAAAGAGTGAACACACACCCCAAAATAGCCAGTAATCAAATGATCAGGGAACATGTGTGGGCTGAAGCAGCCAGTCTTTGGCTGTGAACTGAGAAACGTGTCTGATGAACAGACTGGTGTGCTGCCTGCACCCCCTCCCGCCCCGATCCCGGCACCTTCACCCAGGAAAAAACCCTCCATCAGACAATTCTCAGTCAGATGAACTGGTAGTCCATGTTTTGTTAACCACTGAGAAGCTAATCCCATTTTAAAGGACATTGTGAGTAACTTTTACAGGACCCAGTTCAGAGATGAAGTTGCTATAGCTTCACGTTGTAACTCGTTACCCAGACACAAACGAAGTGGTCAGTTCTCACAGAACTCTCTCCTGATGAGTCCATCGTTGCTGATCTCTGAAGCCCAGTTACTTTTCTGTGTTCCAGTTCGTGCCCACTAAGGACCTCCGTGAAAGAATGATATTAGCTGTGGCTGTTGATCTAGTCCTGGATTGGCTATTAAATTTTTTTCTTAATTTGGCCGTTTGTCTTTTCTAGAACATCAGAAGGTGGAAGCAGGCTCTCTTTAATTCTTTATTGATTTGCTTTTTGTCTTCCTTTCCTGTGTTAAGAACGTGGTATTTAATGAATGAGCCTAAGATGATTTCCATTTGTTTTTTATGTGTGACAGAATTTCAGATGCCAGATTAGTTTATTTGCTTTGACAGTCTTATTGCATCCTTTTTATCTTGACTTATTAAAAGCTTATAAAATATGCATTGTGCAGACAAAATAGACTCAGGTGACAATTACTGAATGAAATTTAAGATTTATACCTTACTCCCAAGGCTGGAACAAGGATATTTGTAAGAGCATTTGAAGCTCCAGAAAGAGGGTTGTAGAGGACAGCTCTTTTCAGGCATGGTGGATGTATATATTGCATAGGGCAAGTCCATCTGTGTAAGTAGTTAAAGCTTTCTTTATGGCCTCAGTTGAAGACTATGGTATAAAGTCCTACAGCATCGAAGAGCTGCCTGAATACTTAGTTATGTGTTGCAGGTTAGTGTCCGTTTTTCAACCTGCTTTCAGTAATGAAATGAAATGTCCAGTAACTCTGTCTTTATGAAGCTGCAAAGAGTGATCCTGGCTTTTAAAACTCACAGAGAATGTGATTCATTTGAGTGAAAATATCCTTCCTCTACAAGGGAATCCTCACAACCTTCAGCTTTTCACAGCCTCATAGCTGTAAATTTTCTCTTGATTCAAACTCAGATATACATTTCAGAAATATTTGTAGGAAGTTTCTCAGTGCAGCAGTTTGGGTTTTTTAGTAGTGGAGTTTATAAATGACAGGTAAGTGAATCAACTTCTGCCAAAAACTCAACTAAACTGCTACTTACTTCTTAGCAGTTTAAATTTTGTTTTGCAGAAATTATCTTTTTGTTACATAAATCTGAGGCAAGAATTATTTCATTTGTGTTCTTTACAATGCCAAACACATTATTGTGGCTTTTGACTAGATTTCACCAGTCTTCTAGTAACAGTGACCCACCGCTTTGCAAGTAGCCTCATTGAAATCAGCAGTTTGATGTGTCTAGGAACTAGGGATTCTTGTGCTTAACAAATTATAAGTATTGTAGACGTTAGTAAGAAAAGAGGTGTAAGCTAGCAGAAGAGGGATACAACGAGAGAAGTGTTTACAAATTTCAGATGTTGATTTTTCAACTGTTTGGATTGAAGAAAGTGAAAATGCAGCTTAACGAAAGTATGTAGTCTGCAGTTCCAGAAGTGTTTAATTTTTTTTAAACAGATCTGCAAACATACTCTGCTGACCATAATCTTAAAACACTTCCTCTGAGGTCTACTTTACAGTAATTTCTTTTCATTGTATACAATAAATATAATGATCTCTTCTAATGGAATGATTTGTTTTTAAGATAAGAAAGGCTAGATTGTTCTTTTAATTAACATTCAGAACAGGCAAAGAAGGATGGATTAAAGTTTCATCTATTCTCTGGCTGGGTAAATAGTATTAAGTGCAGTCATCCCCTTAATGTTCAAGGGCAATACACTGAAATCCTTTCATTGATTCAATTTACCGGAAGATGTAAAGGCAAGAGAATAATTAGAAATTTTATGGGAATGTGTTGTATCTCAAGTTTATGTTGCATTTCCC